GTGGGGACCTGACGTTTACCATGTAAAAATATAAGAAAATAAGCAGTTTCATACCTCGTTACAGAAAGTAGACTCATGCTGTGATGCTGTGCCTCCAGAGGCACCATCTGACTCCAGATGATTACTTCCTGCTTCCATTTCATTTTTTGTCATCTGAAATAGACAAAACAATTACCAATAAACACATTTTGCTAGTTCAAAGCCTGCATTCAATATACTGTAAAATAAGGAGAGATCACAGAACAGAAAACAGGAAAAGAATGCTGATAACACTAGATCACTTCTGTTTTACTCCAAATAACCCCTGCCACACCACAATAAATTTAATAATGAGCTTTCCATGATCCTTGACCCAGCTGAAGAGGAGGTTGCTACAAGTTACAAGGCAAGGGTTGCAAGATTGGAAACACAAAGATGGCACAGGGTGGACACTGAATGCACTTTTACAAAATGTTGCATGGTAGCTTTACAGAATCGAGGTCTAAAGCCAATGGCTCAGCAGCCCAAGAGCAGTAAACAGACAGCAGTGAAAGAGCTTGCTACTGTAGATGCTGGTCCCAAAAAAGGGAATGTAAACAATGGATCTGTAATACTGACGTGACACTGAGTGAAATGGAGCTGTGGAAGAGCAACAGTGACACAGAAAAAGCAAGAAGAAAGAACTTCAGTGCAACAGTGTTAAGGAAAGAGCTGGAGGAAATGAGATTAGCATTAGCAGACTCAGAGCACAGTGAAGCTGCAGTGTTACAGCTGATAAGTGGTATGAGTGAGATGAGATGGCATGCAGGAGCATCACAGACACCTTAGAATGGAAGAAACTGGAGTAAAAAAATAGCATTAGTGAAACATGGAGTAAAGCTGGTATACATGATTGCTTGGTACTTTCTCTAAGCGGCAAGATGAGATATTCCTCAGCACCATTAATGAGACACTAGAAAAGAAGTAGCTGGAGTAAATTCAATTAGGATAAGTAACCGTACAATGTAACTGAGGTACAGCATCACATCTGTATCACTGTTGAGTTGTTAGAGAAGAGAGCATTTTACAGCTCTGCTGGGAGAATCTGAAAAAGACCAAATTATAGTATACAAAACGAGAAATATATGACATGAACAGCACAGAGAAGGCATCTTGTAACAGTACTGAGATAACCCTGGTAAAGGAGTAAATGAAGTTAGGTTTAGAAAACGAACAGCAAATGGTGCAGCATCATGAGATGGATGGATCAGCCGAGCATAGTCTACATGAGAGAAGCTCAACAGGTTAGCAAATGCACAGTGTGATCAAGGAATAGCATCTCAGAGGTGTCATGGTTGAAGGCGATGAGGTAGATGTGCATAGTCCACATGAAAAAAGCAGAAGGGATTAATACATGCAAAGCAGGTTTATGGAGCAGCAGCGCATAAATGTCATAACTGAGGTATATGAACAGACATGCACTCTCAGCCTGACATGCACCAGCAGCCTATTAATGACGTCAGTGCCGCTCCGCCACAACAGTGTTTTTGTGAGTTTTATGAGTAAAAACAGCGAAACGCGTACTGCTGGGCAGCAGGAGTTACACTGAATATATAATGACGTTGCCATACTGATAATAAGGTAATTAAATATGGAAACTTTCAAAATAAAGCCTACCACAGCAATAAGACATGAATGTCGGGTTTATTCACAGAAAAGACAAACAGGCTGCTGCTGAAACTCATGAAAGCCATGCTGACAATTAGAACCGTTCATCAAAAACTGTAATATTGATTAAAACTTATTAAGGATTCTAGGAGCTAATGACAACGTACAGTCACCATAGTACTGATTACTTTTGCCGTCTCATCAACGTCGTCACAACCTCCTAGAAAGTTGTCAGACAACGTTCATACCTTTCTAAAAAATTACATTACAATGTTATGACAATGTAAAGAGCACCAAGCAGACGACGCTGTGGGCATTGAAACAGTAGGTTGTCAAAGTGTAATTGTGTTTGCAGGGCTGTTAGGAATAAAACCTGACGGTTTGGCTTCCTAACGGGAATTGGCTTGATGGTTGCCGTTAGAGACCATTAGGAAATAATCAAACATATGTGGAATCAGTCCCAGAACACCTGATTAAACGATCGGAATCCTTCACACTGTGATATTAACCCATCAGGAAAACACAGAATACCATTAGCCACTACTGAAAACCACCAGAAACCAACAGACACTTTTAATGCGTTCTATGATTTTTATTCAACAGGGAGGTGCATTAAATGTCACTCTCTAGCCATGTTATGGATGAAAAATGGATTAAGTGATGATATCGCTAAATAACAGCAGCCAAAAGTTAATGTGCCATTGGGCTGTTTCAGCCATTGGCAGAGAGCACATGACGTGATTGGGGCTGAGACTGCATCTGTCTGAGAGCGCATGTCTGCAGCCAGACTCTCCTGATACTGGTTGACTACTTTACACATTGTGCAGACTTAGCATTACCTGTGTGAACATGCTTGAATTTTAGCAGTTTGCTTACCTGGACGCCAAAAGCAGATTTGTGCTGTAAATGCTTGGTGCAATGCTGATCATCTCCAGAGGCACCTTCTGACTCCAGATGATTGTTGTCTGCTTCCATTCCACTTTTTGTCACCTGAAATGGACACAACAGTCATTATTAAACACAAAAATAAGAGGGAAATCCTGTTATGGAAACAGCATGCAACATGTTAGCAGTACCATACTGTAACTGATTGGAATTGTTCTGATCATCTCTAGATAGTCTGCATAAACTCAAATTAACAGTATCCTTTAATTTCAAGCTTCCATTTACATTATGGATATGATATCTTAGAAATATATTCACTATTTGGTATTTAATTATCCACAACTGGTACAAGAAGTAACATTCTTACCTCACTCCTCCAGGGACAATCACCATCTCCATAATTATACGTAATCTCCTCTCCAGGTGTTATGTCTCTTAAAGCAAAAAGGCACAAATGTGGCCTTCCCTCCACAATGATTCTCTTCATTTTACAGTTGGGGTTAATGTGGTCGTCATTAACCAGTCTTCCAAGTGTGCCATCATCCCTTGCAGCATCAATGCTGAATTTGAACAAACAGAAGAGTTATTTAGTGACAAAAAGTAATATTTTAGTTGTATAGTTGTAAAATTTAAAAATGTAATGAAAGCAAACAATACACTATTTTCAGTTATTTCACTTAATAATAGTGTCATTATCATTTTGCTCATATTAATATATTATCATTGTTAGACTATTCACAGTTTCCTTCTACCTCTTAAGTAACTGTGCTCAATATGCGTCTACAGGCAGGGGTGATTATGCATTTTGAGTTAAGGAACATGACATTTTGTTAAATAGAAATAGTAGTGAACTAAAGAAAGACTACAAAGCACAATATGTACGTCATACATAAACAGATTAGAAAATGTGGAAAACAGAGCTGGATAACGGAAATTATACTAAATTTAAAGATGATGCGAACTAAATCCACGTGTGGCTCAGGATCAGGAGGGTCAAGAGGTCATGATCTTAACCAATAACTTTAGAATTACGACCAGCACCTCGCTGGTTCTGATGCGGTGGCCCTTTAAAATCGCGTCAGGGGAAAGTTGCTATACATTTACCGAAAAAGACAACACGACTGAATAAGGCGCATTATAAAAGCTAGCCAGGTCGCTGTTCTGATAAAAACACACGTCATCATTAGATGTGATTAAAAACGGAGGGGGGGGGGTCGATCACAGTAAATGGCCAACGCGTCTGTAAACAAAACGACGACGCTGCCAAACACCTCGGCGCTGATCACAGATGAATGTTAGATCTTTAAAGGTTTAAATATGAATGAGTCGCAGTAATAAAGCGTTTATAGCCCATCTAACACCAGCCTCCCGTCCCCATCTCCGCTCAGCGCGGCTCTGAGCGCCGCGGCCGAAACCTCCCCACCTTTAACCCCGCAGGCCGAGAGAGAAGAAGGGAAGAGTTACTCACGTCCAGAGCTTTCCGTGCCAGATGAAGTCGAACAGGAACGCTTTCACGGCGCTGTGATAAACCCGCTGTCTTCTCCGACTCTCCTCCGCACTGATCAGGTCTCCTCTGTACTCCAGCACGAACTCTCCTCTCGCGAAGTTCGTCACGGCAAACACTCCCCTGCCTTAATCAGCAACCACAGACCGCGCTAACACGACCTTCTCTGTGTCGAGGTTCAGTCAAAGCTGATCTACCTGCTCTGCTCACCTTTAAACGAACCAATGTACTTCACATCCAGCCCCGCTCTGTCGCGGCCGGCGGTGATGTGGAAAACAGCGTCGTTTGTCGGGCTCTTCCTCCTCATTACCAAGCTTTCACCCTTAAACACTTCACCAGCTTCTCTACGGAAGACGCGTTAAACATTCATAGGCATCGTAGCGCGAACTGTCTCGATAAACGGGCTGATACAGGGAGGCAGGTTAAAGGCCTTAAATGCCCCGTCAGGGCTGAGCTAACAGGCTAGAACAGCCAGCTAACTAGCGCTAGCTAATTAACGAGAACACGGCACTACTGAAACTAAAATCTTAAATTTACAGCACTATTAAGGTTTATATTCGAGCACAGTTTATTAATTAAACATGTAGTCGCTGAAAACATTCCGTCTGATGGTGAAAGTTCACTCACAGAGCTCTCAGGCGCTGGGCTAGCTCGGCACAGTCACTTCGGACTGGGAAACTGCAGCACTGATCAAGGTGATACCTCATTGGCTCACAGTTCCACTGATTGCTTCCCGTTTCAACCAATCAGAGTTCAGCATTGCTGTACCACGTGATCAAGTGTGCGTCCGCAGTTGTTTTTACAGTCTTTGGCCACAGGGGGCGTGTACACACTTTGAGCAGTTCCCCCTAAGCACTCGCACACTTTTTGTCGAGATTGTGTTCATCTTGGGGACTTCAGAGATTTTAAGGGGGGAGGTTCAGCCCAACGAAATAGACATGCTACAATGGTTAACTTTGTGGGGACTCGATTTTTGGTCCCCACGATGACACACGTCCCCACTTTATTGGTGTGCTTACTGGCTGAAGTCCCCATATTATAAGGTTTACAAACACACACACGTGCACACACACACACACACACACATGTGCACACACACACACACGTGCACACACACACACACACACACACACACACATACACGCACATGTGCACACACACACACACACACACTCACACTCTGTCTGTCTGTCTCATTTTCTCTCTCTCTCCTCCCTCAGCTGATTCGTAGATGCCGCTCTCATAACCCCACCCACCGGCCCACCTTTGAGCAAATCAGAAAGTTTGTTCATAGAATCAACCCTCACAAAGTCAGTCCTGTGGACATGATGATGAACCTGGTGAGAACTAAACACACACACACACACACACACACACACAGACACACACAGACACACACTAAAGCAGAGACTAATATGTGTGTGTGTGTGCGTGCGTGCGTGCGTGCGTGCGTGCGTGCGTGTGTGTGTGTGTGTGTGTGCGTGTGTGTGTGTGTGTGTGTGTGTAGATGGAGAAGTACAGTAAACACCTGGAGGTTCTGGTGGCTGAGAGGACGCAGGACTTGATGCACGAGAAGCAGAAAACAGACCGGCTGCTCTACAGTAAATACTCATCTTAATCCTTTAAGACCTACACTGACACACTTCCACCTTCCACAACCTCAGCTAATTAAATAAATCATTCAGTAAATATTTCTACACACTATATTTCTGAATTAGCCCATAAAATCACAGTAGCACAAAAATTGAGCACAAATTGAAAAAGTTTGTATTGAAAAAAACATTAAACACAATATCAAAAGAGTTTCAACACAAACAACTGCACAAAACCTTGAAAAAAAATGGACCTAAAACTAAGTTTTTACATTTTTTGTTTTCAAGTTACACCCTTTTTCCTGGGCAGTGTCCCAGGAACATTGCTTATATATGAAAGTTCTTTTGGCAGTTTCTGTCCACAGTTACAAAAGCTGCACTTTGCAAACACTTCACAAGAAATAGATCAGTTCTTTATATTTGGTCACAGTCTGTATCATCTGCATCTGGATGCTAAAACCACTCAGGAGTGTAGATTGAGTCCTCTCACTTACTCCTGCCAGTTCAGGGAATCAGACCTTCATAATCGTCGTTTTTAATGTAACATTCAAAAACTGATGCAGTTAAATCTCCACATTCAGATCTACACCAAGATACACTGAAGCATTTGGACACCCCTGTTGGTCGCTGCTCTCTCTCTACTGCTGTCACTCTGTGTGTGTCTTCATTAGCATTTGCATTAGATTTAATCTACAGCATAAAACAGCAATTCTGGAAACACCCCGAAAAAAGTGATGCATGCAATTTACTTGATTCAGTTGTGTGTGTGTGTGTGTATGTGTATGTGTGTGTGTGTGCAGGTATGCTGCCTAAGCAGGTTGCTGATGACCTCAGACAGGGAAAACCTTCCCAGGCTCAAAGCTACGTCAGCGCAACTGTGTTCTTCAGGTAAATAAATAAATAAAGAGTTAATAAGGCCTTCCTGGATTGAGGCCTTCTTGTGGCGGAAGGGCTTGTGTGGTCTAGGGATCTTCAGAGCCAAGTTGTCTGGAGCAGTATGCTCCTGGTAGGGTCTCCCAAGGCCCAGTCTACAATGATAATAATATTAATGTTAATAGTCAACAGTAATACAGAATACAACAGATGTATTCATTCCACAGTTCTGATTCAGTCTTTCTTTCTCAGTGATATTGTGGGCTTCACACAGCTGTCCAGCACCAGCACACCGTACCAGGTGGTGGACTTCCTCAACAAACTCTACACCACCTTCGACGAGATCATCGACAACTACGACGTCTACAAAGTGGAGACCATTGGAGATGCATGTAATTTTTTGTGAAGTTATTTTATCCAAGAATTGGAAATATGAGACATTCTGGACACTAATTTGATGATAGTTTCATTCTGGATATTAATTTTAGTTTAATTTCATTTGGGTGATGACTATTATTATTATTATTATTATTTGAAACAATAATATATTAATATAATAATCTAAAGATAATTTCTCAAAAATGATATTTTGTAAAATGCAATAAAATTAAGAATCTGTGATTTGTTAATTTCTCTTTGTTAAATTTCTCCATTTATTTAACTGGCAAAAGTATAAAGAAAACATTTCCAATGTTTTCACAGACCAACTTAATTGTACTTTTGCAAATATAAACAAATTTAGAAATTGATACCTGCAATACACTCAAAAAAAAGTTGGGACAGAAGAATGTTTACCACTGTGTTACATCACATACTATTTGTTGCAGTTTTGCAAGTGGAATTTTTGCCCATTCTTGCTTGATACAAGACCTTAGCTGTTCAACAGTCCGTGGTCATTATTGTCTAATTCTCCTTTTCATGATGCACCATGTATTTCCAATAGGAGACAGATCTGGACTGCAGGCAGGCCAATCAAGCACATGCAGTCTGTGTCTATGAGGCCACGCTGTTGTAGCATGTGCAGAATGAGGCCTGGCATTATCTTGTTGGTACAAGCAGGGACTTCGCAGGAAAAGACATTGTCTTGATGGTAGCATATGTCTCTCTAAAATCCCAGTATAGGCCTCTACGTCAACGATACCTTCACACATATGCAAGTCACCCATGCCATGGGCACTGATGCCCCCATACCATGACAGATGTGGGCTTTTGCACCTTTCACTGATAAAATGGATGGTTCTTTCGTCCATCCATTTTTCTCAAAAACAAGCTGAAACTCATCTGAACACAGCACATATCCACAGAGTTCCAGAGAACTCGGTGGCGTTTCTGCACAGAATTGATATATGGCTTTCTCTTTGCCTAATAGGGTTTCAAGTGACATTTTATGATGCAGCAGCAGACTGTGTTAAGTGACAGCAGTTTTCCAAAGTATTCTCAAGCCCATTTGGCCATATTTAACACAGTAACATGACAGTTTCTCATGCGCTGCTGTCTGAAAGCTTGAAGGTCACATACATTCAACAGTGGATACCATCACCTATTACCAATTCACCTGCTTATTGTTGAATGATTCAAAATGGTGTAACTTGAATATTCTATAAACCTTTCACTCTCATTTTGTCTCTGTCCCACCTTTTTTGAGTGTTGCAGGCATTCAATTCAAAATTTGTTTATATTCATAAAATACCATCAAGTTGGTCAGCCAAAACATTAAAAGTCATTTCTTTGAAATTTTGTCAGTGAAATAAAGGTTCAAGCGAATTAACAAATCACAAATTGCTATTTTTACTGCATTTTACGAAATGTTCTTTCTGGAAATGGGTTTGAACATTGTGCGTATTTGTATCATACGGCCCAATTTTTTTTATACTATTGAAAACAGTGATTCCAGTACTTTGCACTGTAATTTGGTTGTTTGACAGTTTTGAACAGTAGTACAAATACCGATAATGATTATGATTATATAGTCAAACTAGACACTTGCAGTTTTTGGCAGCAAAAGAAATCTTCCATGTTAGTGCAGCTATAGCTATAAACATTAACCACACAAAACAATGGAATGACATAGTAATGTACTTCAGGGAGTGTAGTCCTTCTAGTCATACCAAAAAAATGCAGATAACATACAGTGGGGTGAACTGTGTGCACCTGCGGCTAACACGCCTACCATAAACAGCAATAACACAAAAATGAACATGATTATATTGGCTAATTATATATTCACCACAGCACAGCACACACAGGTCTGTAGCTAAACAGTGTAGATAACTGGCATGGTTGGTGGCCGTAAGATGACTTAGCCAGTCAAGTTAGCCACTTAGGCAGTTAGCCAAGGAGCTTCCACAACTATTAACAAGCTGGCTAACTCACCTAAAAACCTTTAAAAGTCTCCCAACTGACTGCATGTTGTGTAGACTCTCTCTCAGGTGTTTATTTATAGTCAGTGAGGTTGAAACATCAAGAAGTTGATGCCTAGACACTGCTAAAATTAGCATTTCCTCAGTTTTGGAGGTTCAGTGCTGCTATATGAAGAGTCAACACACCCAAAGCAGAAGTGCTGAGGGTGCAAATTTGTCAAAGTTTATCAAAGTTCGATGTGAAATTTTGCAAGCAAAATATATTTGCCCTGCATTATTTGCAAAATTGGTCATTGCTGCAAATTTTATTGAAATAAATGTAATTGAGCTCACAAAGATTTGCTAACAAATGCAAGTGTGAGTGAACTATAGATTATTTACAGTCTGTATGTGTAAATATGGTGTTTGACATTGAGTATAATTTTTGTACGTGTAGATATGGTGGTCTCTGGTGTGCCGCGTGAGAACGGGATTTTGCATGCATCAGAGATCGCCAGCATGGCTCTGGATCTGGTGTCTGTCTGCAAGACCTTCAGAATCCCTCACAAACCCCAAACACAGCTACAGATCCGTGCAGGGATACACTCAGGCAAGAACACTCATACAAACACGCCTCATTTTAATGGAACTGTGGCAAAGTCTTAAACCGTAAACCTTTCTGTTTCCTCTGTGGGTAAAGTTTAATCTTCAGAAAGCACTGTTAGTGAAATCTTCTCATGTGTTTGCAGTGTTTGAGGGTAAACTTTAATGTGGTTCCTCAGGGCCTGTGGTGGCTGGAGTGGTCGGCACCAAGATGCCACGTTACTGTCTGTTTGGAGACACCGTCAATACTGCCTCCCGCATGGAGTCTACCAGCGAAGGTAGAACACACCAACTGCTGTTCATACTGCCACTCTTAATGATACAATCCACTCAGTTTACCCTCATAGTTGATCTGCTGAGACATGATTAGTGTCTGAAGTTGGCTGCTTTAATTCTTGCACTGAAGCTGCAAGGCTGATTGTAAATAATGGAAGGTTATAACCCACCAATAGATAATCCCAACCTCAGATGCTCTAGAGCACCAGATACCTACTATAAAATCAGGTGAACACAATTATTGGGATTTTGTCAGTTGTCTTCTGATTGTCCGTTGAATGTACTTCCATCCAGCAAATAATATCAGTCTGGTTAGAAACCCACAAATGCAAGTAGGCTGCTCTGCATACCATGACTAAGCCTTTCGGAGCAAGATAGTCTCAGAATTTGAAAAGCTTGTTAAATTTATGACATCTTTAAAAGTTGTTTAAGACTTTGCAAATACATTTGTCTCCAAAAAGTGAGTTTGTTCTGCCCCTTCATGTCATGATAGCATGTCAATCAAACGGTCCCTTCCTGTCAAAGTAGCCGATTCTTGGCAACAGAATGCACCAGACTCTCTGGCACATAAACCACATAAGCAAGTCTATTAGAGATTACTTTCCAACTCAACATTGTTTGAGGAAAATATGAAAATGTGTGATGATTCCAGAACTCTGTTAGCATCATGCTAATTGGTGGGGTATACTTGTAGCTACATTAACCTCATTGGACTAAGGACACAAACTTCAAACACCAAACATGTCTTATCTGTTTGACTACATTTGGCATAAGGGCAAAGTTTTCTTGAACTATCGACTTGTTAAATATTCTTGTGAACTAATAAATCTTCACACTCAGTAGTTGAAGTAGATGAAATGGTGTTTGATTGGTGTTTGTTGTTTACTATGCTTGGTGTTTAGCTCTGAAGATCCAGTGCAGCTCCAGTGCCTTTTATCTGCTGGAAGAGATTGGGGGCTACATGCTCACATGCAGGGGGGTGCTGCAGGTCAAGGTGAGGTGTATACACTCTATAGCAGCTCTTTTCCAGTCCTGGAGGGCCATCAGCTGCTTTGATGACCCCATGTTTGTTGGGTCAATTTATTATGCTCTAGAATTGTCCTGACCTGACTTGGATTAGGGCCTAAATTAAGCAAAAAAAGGTAATCATTCATTAAAATAAGTAGAAATATGTCATGTTTAGCTTGTCCGATGCAGATGTAGACTTGGAAAATCATATTATCTGACCAGATGATGCCTAAATGTTCACAAAATGTATGTCTTTTACAAGCATCATGTAAAACAATGTAATGTTTTTTACAAGCTTTAGATGTCTATGTTAAGTATAAAATGGCCAAAAATTGCAACAGTATTAGCTTATTGCCAACATACTAGCAAGTGGTCATGTTTAAAGGTTCAAAAATATGTTACAATTCAGTCAGTTTCCCAACATCCAACACATTTACTGGCTTTAGTCAATCATAAAAGTTTGTTCCACTAGTCCGGAAAATGGTCAGACCCCCCCCCCACCCTCAACACACACACCCACCAACACATTGTCAGTCTCTGGTAGGATAAGCATGAGCACTAAGTGAGGCAAAGCATGCCTGACTAGCCAAGAAGGACTTCTAGAGGAACGTACACAAGCTTTGGAATGCCATACCAGCAAAATACTGAACATGCTGTAACTTCATGGGTCAGTTTCCCAGGCCTAGATTATTTTAGTCTAAACTAAAAAGAATTTCCAATTGTGATTCAATGTCAAGGCAGCAATTTAGTCCAAGACCAAGCTTAATTCACATCCGGGAAACTGGCCTCTTGAGCAAAAGCAAGTTAAGATCAGTTTACACCACTGGATGGACACTATTGTTACCCATCGGTGGGTCCAGATTTCCTTTCCTCACTTATAGGGAAACAGAAATACGCTTGAGTGGATAAACATATTACTGGCCCGTCTTTATCTTTTTTTTATGTAGTTAGTGTTTAATGCTCATATTTGGTGCTCCTGCCCCTCCCTCTTTCAGGGTAAAGGGGACATGGTGACGTACTGGTTGGAAGGGAAGCAGCCGGCGATGGTCAGTAAGGAGAAGAGAGCAGAGCCAGTGCTGGACACAACAGACAAAGAGAATTTCTCCAACATCCCTGGAGTTATCACCTGCAATAACAACAACGACCTGCTGTTTGACCCCAACTAAAGCTCTATTGGAGCTGGATTAGTATCACCATCGGAGGCTGTATAATGTCATTTGTTGGGATTTGACTGGCAAATAGGCTCAAGATAAAGAATCTGTGTAATTTACCCAAATTCCCACAGATTTCAGGTCATAAGTCAAGGAAGTTCATAAATAATGTTCACATATGTGCTATACCACAGGACACACTTAATAACAATAACAATACGGTGCACAGATGTGCCTATTAGCAGGTTGTGCTATTTCATCAGTGGGCAGTGGATTGGAACAAGACTAATTTACAGACGGAGCTTTTAGTTTAGCCAATTACAGAAGACAATTCACTCTACACTGCAGATCCATACTGGATTAACATCACCATTGACAATTATTACTATAAGACTATAAAAACTACACATCCTATAGATTCATACTGGATTTAAATATCTCCAAAGTTACACCAAAATACAACAATTTCTAACAGATAATTTATTTAAATTATTTATAAAAATCACAATAAATATATCCAATGCAATACAATGTTCTTGCTTAACAGCAGGCTATGGTTGCAAATTTCAACTAACAGCACAATGGTTTTTAATACCTTGGTGTATTAATACAGGATCCAGTAGATGTGTGGTCAGATGTGTTTATATTACAGTGGCACTGAATGAAGCCAGTCAGATTTCTTTTTAAGAATAACATTTTTCACACATTCTTTATCTCTTAAACCATTCCTTAGCTGTCAGTGTCTCTGATCTGCTCCTCTGTATGTGTTTTATTATTTTAGCGTACTGTGACGTCCATCTACTACAAAACGCAGAGTGTTAAGATTTGTTTTCTGTAAACTGTATGGCTGTATTCACTGTAAAAAACATTAATAATAATGCCATGCTGTAGGCTTATCAGCAGCTGTTCATAATGTTTATGGTTGCTGTGTAAAGGCCAGTCTGTCTGTGCAAAAGTCTTTGACAAAAAAAAAGTCAACATCAAATCACTACTAACCTTTTAACCCTTGTAGTTTATGTCGCTGCTCATATTAAGCAAGATTTATAGTCATTTAAAAGATCATCTTGTAAGCTTTGATTGAGGCATAGTGACTTTTCCCGAGTTTCACTTGTGAACACTTGACAATAGAGGAGAAAACATTATGATTCATACTGACTTTAAGTACCTCATGGACCAGGTTGATCTTTTAAACAAGGTAAGCCTTCTTGGCAGTAAAAATAAGCTGGTTTCAAGTAAGTATTATATCAGTTTTTCTATGGCTGCAATTATCCGCATCTTTTTGGAGAAGACATTGCTTTTAATTGTGTGGCCACTAAATAAGAGTAGACAGTTTATGGATAGCTGTGATATCAGAACATAAATCACCTTTGACTGAACTTCAGATACCTAAAATATTGAATTAAATTATTGAATTAAAGCTGTCAAAGTTAGTGCATTAACGCAATAAAGTATTAATGTCACTAATTTTTTTTGTTAACAAATTTTACTTGTTTGACCCCAAACCATCCATAATGCAGGCCGAAGCTCAGCCACAGTGCTGTGTATGTCACGGACAGAATCCGTGACTGTAGAGCTCTTGTTCGAATACAGCTTTTAAATATCTTTTAAAGCAAAACCTTCAGCACCTTCAGCAGACTACACTGGACATAGCAAACTAGCAAAAGCACCAGCAAATCTGTAGCTAATAAAATACTAATTTTATAAAATTTCATGTTTAAAAATGTCAAAACAGGCAAATTCTTGTTTTATAATTTGTTTAGAATTGTGAAACTGAGTCACGCCACCACAATGAAATGATGTTGATTTAAAATGGAACAGATAGAAAGTGTACTATCCCACTTTACCTGATTGACTGTCCAGTTAATCAGCAGTGATTGTTAACATCGTTAATAGTGTTAGAATCTTTCATTTAACAATATAAGCGATCCAGTACTTTAGAAATGTGAATTCAGTGCAGTTGTGCATTTATTATCATGTATGTTTATTCACTGTGGCAATAAATAAATAAATAATGTTCTACAAAACAGAATATTTGAGTGGTTTTCCTCACAAACAAACATTGATCTACAGCCATGATTAACATCTGTTAACATGTTCTTCTTTTAAAAAAACGTAATGTGTCTAATAAGCTATACTATCGTCTCATCGCCCCATCTGACGTTGCCATGATAAAAGGGAACCCCAGTTAGAGCAGCGTCCATGATGAAACCATCTCTGAATGCCACGCCCCCACCGGTGTGTGCGACCACGAGTGTGTATGGCACACTCTTCCCCACACACTCCTGCTGTAACGCACTGAAACCCACCGGCTTCTCTGGTGCCCCCTTCAGGCCGCCGGATGCACAATAGTCCCTCAAATTCCGCAGAACTTTCTCTCTTTTTCCTACGTGGGTCTTCCCTGACCCCACTGACCCCCTGGAAGACGACTCACTGCTGCCCCCTACGCTGTACAGACCCTCCAGGTCCTCTGGGGACACTCGGCCTAGTCTGTTTTTCTCTTTTCTCTGGGCACAGCAGCGCCCCCTGCAGGCCTGGAACCTCAGCCATGGCCAAGGCCATGACCGGAACCCGTTGGTTTTCAGGGCGAGGATGATGACGACCAGAGCAGGAAAAAAGACGGCAGGGCCCAGAGCTATGAGGGGCACGGGGCCCAGTGCCTCACCCCTCGTTCCGGACACGGCGAACATGAAGCCGAAGACGAGGAAGATGCTGCAGAAAGCCACCGTCATCCCCACTCGAGGGTTGATACCGTCGGCACGCATTTCGTCTGATTTACTCAAACAGAATCTGATCTTGTTGATTCCAGTTTTGATTCTGTTCACTGTTTGAAGGTGAGGCCAGTCTCGTCTCTGAGCTGAGCCCCTCTTTTAAGCTCTGTTAATCACACATGTACTGCTGTATTGTTTCTATAGTGGGAGGAGGGGCTCCTCTTTTGAGTCTTGGTTCCATTCACATTAACAATGAATCTGAGCTGTGAGTCAGGAGGGAGGGATGTGTTCCTTTTCCTGTTTCAGGTGAAGGTTACTGGAGGTCGAGGCACGAGGCTCTGAAACTCTAGTGCTGCTCTTCGGCAATGTTCTCCACTGTTCAACAGCGGGTGAGCAAGTCTGATTCACAGACACACAGAGAGAGACAGAGAGAGAGAGAGAGAGAGTATTGTGTTGAATGAAAGCGTAACCAATCCCCGTCCACACATGCACATATATCTGAATGAACTCAAACAAGGTCTTTAAGGTGTAAAGTTGACAGTAAAATTGTTTACCTATTGTCAATATCGACACTAAATCAAGTGAACCAAAAACTACATCATTTTTTTGTAAGTTACTTGTGATTTTAAAAGTTTCTTTTAAATTAATTTTAGTTCTTTTTAAAAAAAAATCTGCAATGTTTAGACTATTTCACAGCTATTAGAAGGTTCTTTTCAATTTTTATACATTTCTTTACAAGTTACATCACACTTGTACTTACGTTACTTTACAGTTGAAGTTACTTTATAATTGTTAGAAGTTTACAGTTTCCTAATGTTTGAAAATCGACCTGTTTGGACCTGTTGAAACTCCTCTGGATAAAACTAATTTCAATGATTCCCTATATTTCTGTACCATAACCCAAAAGATGAGTTCACTGGAACAATCTTTACACAGAAAATTCTGCAATACAAATTTCTAGCAAGTAAAATGTTTAATGGAATAAATATTCCAATGTTTGGTGAACATCTCAGATTTACACTGTATACATTTTACTCCATTTAACTAAAGCATTACATTTACATAGACAGTTTCTAGAAAATGATCTTCATTCAATGAAACTGTCCAGCTAAGTTTACGGACACGCATGGTTTAAAGGGGTGGCCAGAGTAGCCAGTGCCCCCTCTGACCCCCCGCCTCTCGCTCGATGCTGCCACCCTGCCAAAACTCCCTCCACCCCAAGTGAAATTTTCTAGAACTGCCACCAAGTAAATACGATATATATTTAACCAGTAAAGCATAGTCACTTCAAATAAAATAAAACAAAAACCTATTTTTACCAACAGAAACCAAGAGCTATTGCTGTCATTTTGCTATATGATTTAAGTGCAATTACATAGTTATTACATAAGTATTAATAGATAATTACACAACTGCATTAACATTTGATTTACATTCTGTATAAACAGGTTTTTCTCTGCACTTCTAATTTTTTTCAATATGAAAAAAAATGGAAAGTGGAAGAACATAAAGGACATCTTTTCTTTCTGGCAAACAAAACTGTACATACACTAACTTATCAAATTCAAAATATTTTCTTTTCTACTTGTAAACACACGTGGTGTGGATTGAAAGTTTGGAATCTGCACTTTTCACACAATTTCTGTACTTCTTTCAATGCTCAAAGTACAACATTTTTGTTCTTGCTGGGAACAACTGTGACTTCTAAGGGCTAAATTAATAAAATAACACTAAAATAAATAATACTCACCTATTGCAAGTCTCCACAGGTGCATCCTGACGCATCCAGAGTGAGATTGTCTCGTGAAAAAAATTAAAATTGCGAATTGAGTAATAAGCGGAGTAGTAAGTGGTGCTGGGGTCCGTACTGTAGTCTGTCTCAGATGTCTAGACCACCTAATTAAACCTCTACTAACAAATACTTATTAAATACACTCTTATTCTTTCAGTGCGCTGAACTGTGTGGTGCAGAACTGATAAAGATTATCTGACCCCAACTGTGAGATTCAGCTTAAACTCTTCAGTCTTCATCCAGGGTCCAGACGTGGCTCCACCCACCCACCCACACCCTGATTCTAGACAAATATAGACTCATCATGTCTCTATATTTGTATCTGTACTTCAGCTAAATGCTGCCTTTGCCTCTCTGTGCCGCTCCCGCCAAAATTCCCTCACTCACTTATGCAATCAGTTGATCTACCTGGATTATTCCCGTTTTGTGTTGACACTGTGTTCTGCAGTTCATATGAAAATGGAAAATATTGGGCTGTTTTTAAATATCGTCACTGTCCAAAGAAAAACAGGTATCTCCAAAACGGCAACTTTACAGGAGACAGCAACAATGTTGTTAACGTTTAACTGAATTTAATGTAAAGAGATTTTATTCCAAGCTATTCTGAAGCATTTCAGCTGGTCTATTCATCATGAAATAGGCCAGCCGGTGTGCTCAGATTACATAGAAAAATAGCAATCTAAAAAAGTGGAAAAACATGTTTCGGTTATTTATTTATTTACTTTTTGGACAGCGACGATATGTTGATATACTCCATAACAGAAATAGAATATATTGCCCAGCTGCTGAATTCACCCCTGGGCCAGAAACAAAATATACACAGGCACAGGTTTGTTTTTATACAATGCAAAAAATGCATATCAAAGCGCCTTTGTGCAACAATAACATGTCCTAAATGTATTATATGTGAAACAATAATATACGTCAATGATATCATACATATATATCACTGCTGTTGGAACAAAACCTTGTACCTCCAAAATGGTAACTTTACAGGAGAAGGAAACAACATACTTCACTTTTAATGTAAGTCAATGGACTTTTTTCCAAGTAATTTAGGGACATTTCTTTTGGTCCATATATCATGAAATTTACACACAAAGGTAAAGTAAAGTAAAAAGTAAAGGGCAAAAAGTACTTTCAAATTATGAAAAAAATATTTTTTTTTCATATAAAAACTGAAAAATGACAAAAATGGAGATGTTTTGTAGCGACAGCAGCAATATATATATGTATACTAACTGGCTGAGGGAAACTGGTGGGAGTTAACAAAACCCGCTGATCTTCTGCCAACAGTAACACAAACAAACACCACCAAATGTGTTAGTAACATGTTTACTGACACAACTAACATAACACAGTCCTCACATTTCAACACACTGTAAAGGGCAATGGGCACTTTAAAATCCTGTAGAAACGCACAGCAGAACAGTGGTGCCACAATACATAAATATTTATATGCAATAATAATTTGTCCCATTTGTATTATTTATATATTACCTATATGAAATAATAATGAGCCATATGTATTATATTTATGTATATGTAATAAGAATTATCTAATCCTAATCTTAACAAGAAATGATTTAACTTTCAGTATTAAAAATGAAATATGGAGTTTTTATAAATAACACTTTACAAAGTCAGGACACACATTAACACACACACACACACACACGCACACACACACACACACACAAACAAACACTGTGCCCTGAGTGTGTGAAGTTCCCTGGAAAGCTGCAGTGTCCTCAGACGCTTCCGGCAAATTCCAAGGAGCGTAACAGTTTGAATTACATCGACCGACTGCCAGCAACACTAAAGAGCCAGACACACACACACACACTCACACACACACACACACACACACACACACGCACACACACACACACGCACACACCCACACAGACACACGCGCACACACACACACACAAGGGCTCCAGTGTCAGAGAGTGTTAGCAAGATCTCTGTCAGTTATCTGTTGGGCAGCCGTCGCTAAGCCTACACACACTCCCGCTGTCATCTACACATCACACACACACACACATTCTTGGAAATCCACTAGAAACACACTCACATAGAATAGTTTACTCGCTCATATAAACACATGCACTATGCAGGTAAACTACGTTTTCACAAGATTCCTAAAAATCTCTTTTCATCAGTTACATTCAAACTTTTGTTTGTTTCTCAACGTAAAAAAGCAAAGAACTTTTGCTTTTCATCATCTACGGTACATAATATCATTAAAATGTTCTGAGAATCTGGAGAAATCTCTGTATGTAAGGGACAAGACCAAAAACCAGTATTTGCTGGCTGTGATCTTTGGGCCCTCAGGCAGCACTGTATTAAAAACAGTGGAAATCACTGCATGGGCTCAGAAACACTTCTGAAAAACACTGTCTGTGAAAACAGTTTATGATGGTATAGGGGGCACTAGTGCACATGGAATGGGTGACGTGCACATCTGTGAAGGCACCATTAATGCTGAATGATATATACGTTTTGGCAACATATGCTACCATCCAAACGACGTCTTTTTCAGGGAAGGTCTTGATTATTTCAGCAAGACAGTGTCAAACCACATTCTGCATGTATTACAACAGCATGGCTCCATATTAAAAGAGTCCAGGTGATAAACTGGCCTTCCTGCAGTCCAGACCTGTCAACACTGAGAACATTTGGCGCGTTATGAAATGAAAATCATGACAAAGGAGACCCTGAACTGTTGAGCAGCTAAAATCCTATATGAAACAAGAACAGGAAAACATTTCATTTCAAAACTACAGCAGTGACTCCTCAGTTCCCAAACGCTTACAGAGTGTTGTTCAAAGAAGAGGTGATGAAACTCAGTGGTAAACAGGCCCCCCTCCCAACTTTTTTGGAATGTGTTGTTGGCATCAAATTCAAAATTCTAATTCAATAAAATTTCTCAGTTTGAACATTTGATATGTTGTCTTTGTAATATTTTCATTTAAAAATATGGTTTACATGATTTGATTCTGCACAGCGTCCCAACTTTTTTGGAAATGGGTTTGTAATGTAATCATCATGATTGTTGTATTTCAACTGTGCAAATACCCTTATTTGTTAGGCTTCGGTTGGGGAAAAAAGGATTAAACGGTTGAAATGAACAAAACAGCCCAGTCAGGATTGTTTTGTCTGTGGTATCTAGGTAGACACAGCTAATCAAGCTTTCCTAATGGTTTAGGAGTTCAGCAGCTGTGAGTTGTTGGGAATGGAAAACAGAGGCAGCAGCTCCATGTCAGACCTCCCACAGACAGGAGGACTATGCTGTCCCTCATGGCCACATGCTGAGCAGCTGAATCTCACTCTTTTGAAGTAAACATGTCCCAAAGTTTGAAAATCGTCACTACAAATTGTCACTACCGAAACACATATTTTGCACTTAAGTAAACTTTTTAGTGGTTTTCTTTTTGAATTTTAACCCAAACGTCTCCAGTTCCACCCGCTAGTTAGGATTCCCCCAATCACACCATACTACCAACGCTAAGAGGGCAAAGGCAAACACAGGCTTCCTCCGAGACCTACAAAACCAGCCGCCGCTTCTTTTCGAGCTGCCGCTCACGCAGCGTCATTGGACAGCTGAACGCGCTCGGAGCAGAGCGCCAACCGCCAGATCTGTTACGTCAGCTAACAGACACCTGCGCTGAGTAGCATGGCGTTGAGTGATAGGGGAGAAGGGGGCCAGCCTACCCACCCAGAGAGAGCGAGGCCAATTGTGCTCTCTTGGACTCCCGGCTATGGACGGCTGTAGCATCACCAGGGGCTGAACTTGCGATCTCCTGATGATAGGGCCAACGCTTAGACAGTTGCGCCACTCGGGAGCCACTTTTCTGTGTTTTAATAAAAATATTATGAATTTAACTGTGTACAGTTGTACAATTAGCTGTGTTTGCTAGTCGTGTACTGGTTAGTGTTTTTGAGATCTCAAAAGAGGTAAAATGGTCAGCACTGAAACAGATTAGATTGATTGTTTTGGTAGTGACAAGGATGTTGAAATGTTTGATCACTTATACTAATAAAATAAACATAATTAAGGCAATTAAGGGTCACTCAAAGCAAAAAGATTTTAGTCTAAAGTCCAAGTTCAGTTAAAAGTCTGAAATGTGTTTCGAACTCTGACTTTGAGCCGGTTCAGTAGGATGATCCTTATAGGTGACAGGAGTTTTGAATCCTTAACTTGATAATTAAAATCAGTGATATTGTGGGTGGAAAATGTACCAGCTTTGTAACTCGTCCTCGGTTCTGAGTTCTGATACTCCAATTCTAAATAGAGGTGATTCAGAGAGATGATTAAGATAAGAAACATGGCTGTTTCTGCAGCGTCGTCACTGACAGTCCTGGATCCGCACACTCAGATCGTGTAGCAGGTCTGTGTGGTGCTTCCGGCCAGCGGGCACCTGTTACATCACCCAGAAATGTGTTCTCTGCTACAGCAACATAACAGAGCTTAAATAACTGTTCCAGGATACCAATAGCAACAGAACGGCGACAACACGGCCGGACAAGCCTGCAGAGTGAATTATAGGGGTCAAGCTCATGGCACTCTTAAAGCTAACTTCAAAAAATAGATGCATCTCAATAAACTAAGCTGTTTTTAATCTAGCAGTTTGACAAGTTTGCTATTTCCTCCTTTGCAGATCAGCCAAGACATGCTGGGTGTCTGAAGCTGGCTTCTTTACTTTTGCACTGAAGCTGTGAGGCTTGTGTAGCTGAGAAGTGATGGAAGCTAATGTCCACAAACTAGTACTGAAAGTGAAAATCATCACATGTTGTTGTTCAGTATCACTAATAGACTTGATTATGTGGTTTCTGACCCTGTATGACTCACTGATACCTAGAAACTAAAGTAGTTATAAACACAGCTAAACCAGCCTAGCTAAAAACACAGCTAAACTAGTCTAGCTAAAAACACAGCTAAACTAGTCTAGCTAAAAACACAGCTAAACTAGCCTAGCTAAAAACACAGCTAAACCCGCCTAGCTAAAAGCACAGCTAAACCAGTCTAGCTAAAAACACAGCTAAACCATCCTAGCTAAAAACATAGCTAAACCAGCCTAGCTAAAAGCACAGCCAAGCCAGCCTAGCTAAAAACACAGCTAAACTAGCCTAGCTAAAAACATAGCTAAACCAGCCTAGCTAAAAACACAGCTAACCTAGCCTAGCTAAAAACAGCTAAACTAGCATGGCTAAAAACACAGCTAAACTAGCCTAGCTAAAAACACA